GGTTGGGCTCATCTGACGCTGCGTTCGTGTTGCAAAAGCCAACTGTGCTTCTCCATGCCACGTGTACCGGACTGGCAGGGAGGGAAGGAACGCAGGCCTTTGGTTTGTACTGCCCAGAAGATCTCACGAAAAGGAGAAGCTCCTGTTGTGGTGTCGGTGCTGGGGAGAGACCCCCCCAAAGGACTGAACGGTCCCACGTTGCAGCACCTGCTGGAGCCCATGAGCAGCTCCAGCCTCTGCTGTCACCTCTGCAGCAGCTCCAGAGCCGAGGTGGCCCTGGGTCCCCAAAGCACTGGTTCCCCCGTGAAGCCACGTCTCCTTCATGGCCCCCATGGAAGCCAAGTAGGGTTTGGTGGCTTCTCTTTCAAGCAAGGACATTGGTGGTGGGACTGGCACCTGTGTGATGGCCTCACAGGCTGCTCCTTGCTCCCTGTGCCCTCAACTGACCCCTTTTCCAGCTGCTCCCATCCCCAAACCAGGGCCCTGCTGTCCCCATGCAGCACCAGTGTCACAGAGTGCCCAAGGCCGTGTGGGATGTCTGTGACGGAGAATGAAGGGACTTCTGCGTGGGTGGGAGAGGCCACTCTGGAGGGCCGTGGCCTGTCCTCTCCCGGGGTTGCTCCCTGGATGCTCATGTCCCCTCGTGCTGGGCTGGCCTGTCACCAGCACCACAGGAGCAGAGCAGAGGGACAGCAGCGTGGAGGGGTTGGGCAGAGGAGCCCAGCGCCCTCCTCACCATTTCCCCACTGGTGGGACTGGTGCCAGGGGCTGTATGTGACATCCCTCCCCAATGGCATCCCCTGCCAGGCCAGTCGTGGCACTACTGGAGGCACCCCAGCCCATGGCCCCCCAGCCAGGCGTGCCCCTCTGCCTGCGGGCAGCAGGCCTGGCTCCCTCAGCCTGGATGCACTGGTGAGGGGCTCTGCGCGTGCTCACAGGCGCAGGCTGGGAGAGCTGGGCCTTTCCCAGTCGTGCTCCGAAATCACCGCAGTATGAATGAGATGTTCACCCGAAGGGGATTCCCTGGCTGCAGGGGGTTACTCCTGGTTGCAGCATCACTGAAATTAAAGCCAACTCCCTGCCCGGCCCCAGGAGAGCTGCACCCCAGGGGGCTTTTTAATGTCATGAGGAGGACAGAGGTGGCAGTCCCAGGGAGATGCTGCCTGCCACAGCAGGCGGAGGGGCATGGCGGGGTGATGGGGGATGCAGGATTTCCTGCTCGCTCCCTTCTCCCTTACCCCAAACCTGGCAAACATCCCCTGTGTGGAGGGACAAGCTGCTCACCGTGTCTTTTCCACTCGGTGCTCCTCTTCTTCCCACCACAGATGCACAGGGCACTCCAGCCCCTGCGGGCTCTCGGCAGCCCCTGAAAAAAATTCATCCCGGAGCCGTGGAGG